ATGGGGGGGGGGGGGGGGGGGGGGGGGGGTGAAAATTTCAGAGCTTCTAATAAGCAGCACTTGATGCATTTAGCAAAAATGGTGGAAGATGATGCTCCAAGACAGCCACTAATTCTTTTCCTTGGTTTGCCTCTTCCAGTACTACACCACCAAGCCTTTTGGCTGCTTCCACAAGCTGTCCTCTAAGTCTTTGAGATAACAAGCAACATCCCCCTACCTTGACACTTTCTCTATACAGTGGCAGGTATGCTATTGCTACCCTCAAGGGCCCAGGAAGATCCTTCAAACAGATAGGAGATTCACCACAGTTTACAATACGCACAAAGTTTAAGTAGTGTTCTTTTCCTTGCTGCAGTCCATCTGAGAAGGCAGCTTCCGACCAATGTTCCCGAAGGAAACTCCTCAGACCAGGAGCAACAGCATCATCATCAGACTTAGCTATACTGTCGGCAACAGCATAAGTGGCAACAGGATCACCGAGGAAGTCTGAATGCAGAAGAAATGCTACCCCATCAAGAGACCCACTGCTTCTCTCACCAGCAGCCTTAAGAATCTCGATGCTGAGGGCAGCAAGAACATGCTTAGGTACGTGAGGAAGGAGATACGCGGCAACTGCAACCTGACTACTGGAGGTCGCAGCTGTAAGAGCCAGGCATAGTTCCATGTCCCTGCATCCCCTTTTGACAAACCATTCAACAACCTGCATGCATCCCCTCTCAGCAGCTCTCATCAGAGGGCCCAAGAAAGACATTGCATTCCCCTCTTCCACTAAACATTCCATGGTTCCAATTTTACTGTAATGGGAAGCAAACCCCAAAGCCAGTTCAACATCAACATCCAAGCTGTTCCTTTGAGCAATCTACAAGTAAACCAAAACAACCAAAGATGAGAATGCCAGACTTCTTTTAAAAGCAATTTGAGCCGCGAGCTCAATTTTATTGATAATTAGAAAACATGCACAAAAAATCCGAGCCCAAATGGGTCCAGAAAGGAAGTAATGACAGAAAGTAGGAAACAAAACAAAATGGACTGGCTGGTCCAATTCGCCTCTATTTCTATATCTATATTGGAAGAATTTCCTAAAGGAAACTCATTGTTTTCCACTGCCGCTTCCACTGAGCTCTGAAGATAATGAACATGAAGAGGTTCCACAGCAGTGGTTTGGTTCTCCTAAATCTCTGCGTGATCAACACGTGTGGTCCTCTTTGGTGTTTGCTGCTAGTTTTCAGCTTGCAGAAGTGAGAAATTTACCTTTCTCTTCTTTTTTTTCTCTTCGTTTTTGTGGTCCTGGTTTAAAGTTAACTTCTGCTCTCTGTTTTGCCCATCCAGATGTGTAATCCGGTGAATGAGATTGTTGTGTATACCCAGGAGTCTACAGAGGGTTGTCATAATGGGTATCAGTTGATCTGTTACGTGTGAGTGTCTCGCATCCTTCTTCTCTTGTATGATGTGTGGGTTTACCAATAGATCCGTGTTTTCCTAGCAGGGGTGGAATGCAATTGATCTGTTACGTGTGAGTGTCTCGCACCCTTCTTCTCTTGTCTCCTTGGCTTGTCTGATTCTCTTAGATATGAAGCTTTTTCCTCCTACCTTTCACATAGGAATGAAAGAATTTGGTATTCCTATTCCCATCTACAAACCTGTACTCCTCTAAGTGAAAATATCTTTTCAGTTCTGTTAAGAGCATCCCTGCTAGCCTCTGTAGGATATAACTGAATCTCTTTAACATTTATTACATCTTCTAGAGTGGCTATTTGCTGAAAAACATTGCCAAAACTCTCTTTACTGTATCATGCGAGGGCTCCTTTCACCCTTTTCAATTTGACCTGAAACTCAGTGAAAGGATTACCAACAAAGTCATTCCTCCCATTGTCTTTCAGTATGCTTCTGAAATGATTGTGCTTGGTCCAGATATTGAGAAATTTGAAGGGCTTGATGACTGGTTCTTGTAATGCATTGCATATCACATGTAGAGGAGCATGGTTTAATCCTCGTCTTACCATATGTTGAACCTCATTGACCGGAAAAACCTCCATGAACTTCTGATTACCAAAAACTGTGTCTAATCTTTTGAAGATGCATTCATTTTGTATTCTCCCATTCCACCATGTGTATTTACTCCCTGTGAATTTAAATTCAGAGATGGCACAATTATTGATGCATTGAGGAAAATGTGTTGCTTCATGATGTGTGAAAGGGAGACCTCCCAACTTCTCTTCATCACGTAGGATAACATTGAAATCTCCTCCAATTATTCAGGGAATCTGATAACATTGAAATCTCCCACAGTTCCAGTCTTTCTAGAGCATTGCACCTACTATATAGAGCTGAGATCATAATTTCTTGATTACCAGCCTTGCATCTGAATTTCAACGTGAGTTGTTGAATAATGTCAGTAAGCACTTGACCTTCCCATTCACCATTCCAGAAAAATCCAAATCTTTGAGGAACAGTTTGCAATACATTATGTATTCCCAGTATCCTTTTGTATTGTTCTAACTCATGTGGTCCTTGGAAAGGTTCCGTAAGAGCTATGTATGGGTAGTGATGTCTTCTGTTAAGTTCCATTAATCTCTCAAAGGAATTCAAAGAATTAACAGATCATATGTTCTATGAAAGTAAGGTGTCAATCATTAATCAAATCTGGGGTGGTTTATCTTTATTCCTCCTTGTTCTAACCTCCAAAGGAAGGGATCGATTGCTTGCTTTTCCTCTTTTGGTTCCACTCTTAGGTTGTCAATCTTCCTGGGTGAGAGGTCTCCTTCTTTGCTTATATGATCTATGTTCTCGTCCATGTGTTCATCTTCCCCTAGTATCTCTTCTGTGTTGTTTCTTCTCAATTGGCATGTCCTCTATCTCTGGTGCCTCACTAAGAGATGTGTCTGGGATAATAATCTGCAATGGGTTCGGTTCTTGAGTACTCGCATCGTTTTGCGTTTCTACCTTATCCTCCTTTTGTGAGCTGTTATTTTCTCTATTGTTCGTTCCAAGATCTTGTACTAGTCCTCCCTGGTATCCTTGAGGAGCCTTGTGGTCAGCACTCCCTTTTTCTCCTGTTTCTTTGTGTTGGTTATCTGGTGGTGCCCATATTGTTAGAACACTTGATGTTGGATTCCTTTTGTTGGTTGTATGTTTTACTTCGTTTTCATTGTCGCTTGTGTTTTTTTTTATAGTCGGATCCTTGTTGTTTCTTGAGTTCCCTTTGCTATCCAATTGTTTACCAAAAGCCTCTTTTTTTTTGCTTTACAAATAAGTGGCACGACCTAAAGTAGTTTCAACCTAACTAAGTATTCCAGCGAGCTACAGTCTCGGGCATCTAACTGCACTGAGGGGAAGTAAAACAAGATCCTTCATAAGCAATTTCTTGTTGAGATTTTGTTTATTATTTAAAGGTATATCTGTGTTTTCTTTTATTTATTTACTTTTTTATCTACTTATCAAAGTGAAATTGGAACATGTAGAAAACACTAACAGTGCTTTGTAAGCACAACCCAAAAACTAAGGGTGAGAGAAAGACAGAAAAAGAAGAAGCAAATAGAACATCCATGACAGGTGAAATACCAATATAAAATTTACAAAGGCAGTCACCAAGAAGAACATTTAGAAAGTACAAATCTGAAAAGGGGATAGATGCATGCTTCGAAACGTAAAAGTGAAAACATTACACTCCAAAATATACATCAATATACCTGCAAAAGAATGCGGACCAGCTCTGTGCTCCCAAAACGCGATGCTTCAAGAAAGCACTGATTGACATTGTCGGCACCCCCATCCACCAACATGCCGAGCAATCCTTGGATTGCAGTAGCTGAAATTCCTGATGCCCAGCAAGTATCAAATGAACTAGAGAATAGTGTAAGCGGAAAGCAAGCTGCATCAAATGCTTCTGTAAAGTCCTTCCCAGTAAGGTGGTTGCCGGCAAGATCCAGGAAAGTTTTGAAAGCTGATAACTGCAATTGTATTTCAACAGCAGAGTTATGCCCAACCGTATCTCTCTTTCCTTGGCAGCGGGAATGGAAACCTATACATTTAAGAGCCCATTCAGTGAACTTCTGAACCTTAGCACCAGCTTCAGCCTTCAAGATTTCATCTCCGCTGCATTCTTGTAGTCGTTCATGCAACCTGCTGAGAGTGGTGGTTCATACCCAGCAAAAACTTTAGTGCCACAAACAATACCAGACATCAAGGGAAATGGAAAGAGAAAAAGTTGTAACTGGACACCAGAGTTCAAATTCCAGCAGAGACAAACAATACTAGGTGATTACTTCTCATTTACCTAAGCCTCCAGATCTCCCAGTATCTGGGTGGATGGGAGGCACCATCATTGTTAAAAGGAAAAAAAAATTGTAACTTGACCTTGTAAATTATCACCAAGGAAATTCTTATATATGAAGAATAAACTTTTCAAATAATATGCCATCTATGTATCCTTTTAGATAATAGCCCATACGATGGGTAATAGCAACAAACTAACTAATGTAGCAAGCTCGTTTGTTAATTTCAATAACAAACAAATGAAGGTTCTTCATGTTTACACTTTAGCAAAAGGTCTAAAGAGTATTTTCAGCATAAAGATTAAATAACTCAAACCCACAGGTTGTTGGAAGCAGGGGCGGACCTATGAAGGAGGGAGGGGGTGCCTCGCCACCAGCAAACCTCAGCCGGAACTTTGTATAAGTATGTATACATAATTACATATAGATAAAAACATACAAATACGTTCAGTGGCATCTAGATTACAAAATATGCATTAGGTGCCATTGGCAAAGTCCCAACTTCTCCCCATTGGATTAGTTTATCTAATATAAACTGAAATAAAACCCGAATAATCTGAACTTAATCAAAATTAGATCAAACCAACCCAATGCGTAACCCATTTCAGCTATGTAAATAGTAATATGTGAATGTTCAAAATAATGTGGCACCCGGAACCTCTAAATCCTGGATCTGCCTATGGTTGGAAGCTGAGACAAATGCTTTGGTTGAGCTTACATATACTAGTACTGGAGAAATAAAAGAAAAACTATTTCACAACTTTGTACACAAAGCATCAACTGAGCAATATCTGGGAATAAAAATTTGTGGTTCCGGGTGAAAGAACTTGGATTTCATATCATCATGTTGCATTTCACAGGAATCCTACTAATTTGACTAGACATGTATACTTCAGAGATTGGGAGAACATTCAACAGAAAAACGAAGGCTTTCTCTACCATCATTTAAGCATTCAAGGACGAAGTTCAAGATGATGCAAGGAAAGGCAAAAGCTCTGACCTTTGTGCCATTACAGTGACAGTATCTGCAAGGCCCATTGTTCGACTCTGGCAAGCAGAAACACACGAAGCAAGAAATGAAGTCCTTAGTGCAGCCCGAGTGAAGTCGTATGCACCATTAGCGATGATCTTTTTAATCAAACCTGTTATCCCGTACAACTCATCTTGATTACTTAAGAACCAGATTGAATCCAAACCAATGCATAACGCATCATTCAGTGTCTGGGGATCAGCCAATAGGATCAAACTCTCAGCCAACTCCCAATCATGGTCACTCACAGCACCCTGGAACAAGCGCCCCAACTCAATCCTATTTTGTCTGCTAAGCTTCTTTTCAAGACCTGATTTCTCACTTTTCCCAAGTTCCAAGTCAGAGATAGCTATCCCTGATTTAATCTTATTAACTCCACAACTACAACCTCCTGCAACGACAGATGATCTGAAGTCCTTATGTACAAGTGGAGCTTCTCTTGAAAATACAACATTTCCATTACTTCCCTCACCTTTCTCAGACGGCAAAACTACATTCTCATCGTTCCGATCAGATATTTCCATGTCAGCAGTTTCCACTTCCATTTCTGAAAACACAGTCTTTTCTTCACTAATGCTATTCCCAACAAAAGCTGCCTTATCTTCTTCCATATTTCCCCTTAACAACACAACACCCAAAACTAACCAAATACCTCAACAATCAATTCTTCCCATCAAAATCCATTGAAACCCAAAATTTAAGCAAAGTTCAGAAAAACCCAGTATAGTTTTTACCCTTTTTCTTCTGCCACACCCACAAAAGCCCCAAAATTTCAATCAAACAAGAGATCAAACTGCAGAAAGAAACTTGATTTTCCAGTTGAAAATGGAAGTTAACGATCAAGTAAAGAGCAAACCAACAAATTTCAGATTCCAAATTCCAACACACTCATCTTCATAGCCTATAGTAGCAAACAAACACTAAAACCCCTTTTACCATTAACAGATAAATAGTGGATGAGGCATATCCACCAACAAGCCTACAAGGCAACATATACTCATCAGCTAAAGAATAAAGAATAGCAGAAACAAAAGTTCAACAGAGAAATGAAAACAAAATAGGAAGAATCAGTTTACAGAAGAGAAAAATAGAGTGAAAAGGGAAGGAGTAGAAGAAACAGACCTGAAATAGAGAAACCCTTTTGCCTCTTCTTTACCTTACAGATGGTTACTACTGGTTAGGACTCAAAAGGAGTATTTTGCCTTTGCCAAATCTGCTTTTTCCCCATTCCTTTTTCTTTTTTTTCCCAAGGGCTACAGTGGATTGGTCCACCCCATTTGGGTTAACTCACATAAGCTTTAAAATTTGATGGATCATATAAAATAATTCTACACTTTATCTTAAGATTATTATATACTATACCTCACCTCAAACGACTTCTAGATAATAGCAATATATTATCTAAATTAGGGAGACTCATAAGTGAGCGGTTACAAAAAGGGTGATAGTGAAAATATTTTATGGTTTGATATTCCTTGGTCTGATCATATTTGATCAATAGAGTGTTGACAAAAAAGAAGAAGATTGCTTTAAAATTACAAGTGTCGATGAATTTGAGATTAGCCCCTCCTTAGCAAGTCTATATGCTACTTTGTTTTGCTCCCTATATACATAATTGATAGATGGATTGGTCAACTTGTTAAAGAAGTACTTGTAATTGTTAGTGAGATTAACATATAAAGAATTGTTTTGATGCGCTAATATAATAATAATCTTAACGTCTATGTTAATATGAAAAGCATGAAAATTCCATCCTATTTGTGATACATAAATTATGTAACGAAGCATTAAGCTTCGTTTCAATTGAGTTTGTGTGAGAAATTGAACTATAGAATTTAAATATCCAATTACCCGTATAATCTTTAAAAACTCCATTTTTTCATTTATTTGTAGATAATTTTTACTTTTCATTCATCAATTATTGAATGGACTTGTATTTTCATTCTTATAATACTTAATCAAATATATTTAACTTCAAATAAATTAATGTGTGAAAATTTTGTCCCTTCTACGAATAAAAAGTATATGTTGATAATAGCTAATTATTAAAAATATATATAATTAAAATAATTAAAAATTAAATATAATTAATCAAGTATTATGAGGATCAAATTTGAAACCCACTAATTAATTGAAAGACTGATAATATAATTCTCTCTTATTACTTTTAAATTATTGTGTGAGAGAGAGAGGAAACAACTTTTTTACTTGATATCAAAATAATATTTGCAAAGTCAAGTAAGAGCAAACCTCCTATTTCTCAAAAGGAAAAAACAACGTTAACTATCTACATTGATAGTTAATAGGGATAATTACGCGGTTAAGCAAATTTATACTACTTAATCACTTATCATAGCTATAGTTTGCTATAATTACCACTCGCGACTAACATTATACATTAATTATGTGGGTTGATTTCTAGTTTGTATAATTAGCCACGTTTGTATATGTATAATTCACCACATTTGTATAATTCGCAGCTAACAATTCTTGTTTGATTTGTTTTGTATACGATTGATTGTATTTGTATATGACGATGATTTCCTTTGGTTTTCAGTTTTGTCATCATATACATTCAATCTTTTTGTGTATAACTTTTTATAGTTTATATAAACGTGTAGTTTTTAGATTTTGTATAATATAATTTATATAATGTAATTTGTATAATATATTTTGTATAATTGTTTAAAGTTCATACATTTATGTTTGTATCAATTTGTTATTTCGAGTTTTATTATATTTGTATAATTCCAGACTTTTATATTACTCAATTATACAAAAACACGTGAATTATACAAACGTACCTGTGAATTATACAAACGAGATGCGAATTATACAAATTATTGTCCTCTCTCGCTCGCCTCTCTCCTCCCTCTCCCAATCTCGCTCGTCTCTCTCCTCCCTTTCTCAATCTCGCTCGCCAGAATATACAAATACATATGTATACTATACAATTATCTAACTGATATACATATACAATTCACCTCTCTCCCACTCTCTGCCCTCTCTCGCTCGCCTCTCTCCTTCCTCTCTCAGTCTCGCTCGCCACTCTCCTCCCTATAACATGTAGCTACGAATCACAATTAGCAAACTATAGCTATGGAGTGTAATTAGGCTATTTTTGAGTGGCTATATGCGAAAGTTCCTCTAGCTATTATATGGTTGTCTTTGGAAGGGAGTCGAGTCCAACTATTATGTAATGCTAAGTTATCATAAAAAACGAAAAAAAATTAATACATCATAGAAAACACCACTTAATTTATAAAGTAGTAGGGTTTATGACATGATATTAAGATTCTCCGGGGAAGATATCTATTTCTTGATGTCTCTATCACTTATATGCATGTGTAACAATTCAGTCCGTCGTTACTTAAATACACCTCATGTGGAGTCTCAAAAAATTCTTGAAATTTGATGCCAAATTATAAATTGGGGCACACAATAAAATTATTATAATTGAATTGATTCGAGTTGACGTCAGTTCGCCATAGCAGGAGGGGAAGCCTACCACTATGGTGACGTTGCTATTGCGCCTATATGATCACTATAAAGTAGGATTGACGAAATCAGATCGTAGAAAATTCGATGGCTTTTATTTTTCTTCCCACTTTACTTTGATAAAATAGACGGGGTTACTCTGAAAACTCCCTTAAGCCACTTTAAGCTTGAGAGTGGAGGCGAGGGATTTTCGTGCAAGTAAGGGTAAGACCTAGTGATTTCCGATCTATATTCATCAAGATTCTCCCCCAAGGAGTCATAAGTTGCATCCATAGTCCTTCAGCAGTTGCTTGGCGCCCAGATAGGCTAGGTTCTCTTAACTAAGTAGTTAGACCCGTATTTATCTAGTGTAATATCTTGTAGATTTTCAAAAGATTTCATGCATAGGCCTTTAGACACAGAGTCTAGATAGTTGAATGTATGGTTAGTTCTTGTTACGACCCGAGCCTACACCCTGGACGTGGCCGATACTCGAGAACTATTGTTGATCCCCAAGCGAACCCTCATCCTGGCTGACTACAAGCGGAAGACTAATTCAAGCATACAAAGCTTAAAAACTGAATAAAATTTCATGAACTCAAATACAAAGCTTTAACTCAAATAAAAAACTCTGAATAAAATAAATTATTCAACTTGCCATAAAATAGGCAACTTAAGTCTTTAAAACATTTAACAAATTAAATGAACAGACTTCTGAAACTCTACTGTCTATCTATGCAACCTCTAAATGACAAAGATAGAAGTCGAGATAAGACCCACGACATCCTAACAACTGATATAACTGAAGTAAAAGTGGAACCCTCCGGAAGCAAGGAGGCTCACCATAGCTAACTCGAACTCCATGTGGTATCAACGAAGTTCCTGTTGATTGACCCTGAATACATGTATCTGCATCATGAAAACGATGCAGGCCAAATGGCTCAATACGTGGAATGTACGAGCATGTAAGGGGAATTCTAAAGCATAACATAAGCTTGAACTTGATAAAAAGGAAACATACTTACCTCTTTTCAAACTTACTCAACTCAAAGAATACTCAAGGATACTCAAAACTACTCAAACTTACTCAACTAAGAACTACTCAAGGATAAAATACTCAACTCAGTGAAACTCAACAATAAGGTACTCGACACAATGAAGCACAGATCAACTCAAGATACTCAACTCGAAATACTCAACTCGAAATACTCAACTCATGATACTCAAGGATAAAGCAATAGTAAAATATGCAATATATATGGAAAGCTGTAAAACTGTAGATAACAACTCAATGTATTGAAAAAAAACAATAATACTCAGTATGTATATAAAAAATATAATATAACTCTGTGAGAGTTTCTCTAATCGACAACCATCACTATGAGTTATGTGATGATACAACGTCTCACCCACGCTGCCAGAACTGTCATATACTTTGCCAAGGTATAAGACTTCTCAACTAAGTGGATCTACTAGTCTGTGCTAAAAAGCACTAAGGAATTATCTAAAAAGTATGAATTTTCTACCCACGTCGGCTACATGGTTTATGGAGACTTGAGTTATCTGCATTCGTCCCCATATCGGTGCTCAATACTACTTCCAAAATATACTCAGCTCATATGTTTTAAAAAAGCATAACTCTTTCTGTGGTTTGAGATTATTACTCAAAAACTAGCTTAAAAGCTCTCTTGGAAATCGGTGTTTCCTCTCTTGTTTAAATGTGAAAACATTTTACTCTTAGAAATACTTAGTTCCCACATAATCTTTTGAAGAAATGAACTTCACTCTTACTCTTACTTAACTCAATGCTCAAGTCTTAAAACAAGTTTAAAAATATTATAAAAACTTCTCGAAATAAAGTTCATGCCAAATTATAGACGTGAACGACTCGACTCGAGGGTCAACATAACTGTCACGACCCGGGAGCACCCCCAAGTCGTAACAAGGCGTACTCGACCCCGAAGGGGTCTTATACAAACCACATAGTCATTCATTGCATTCAATAATGATAATAGTGAGGAATTAAAAACTTATTTACATCCCAACATTCAAGCTTCATTAAAACAACTTTAAAAACACACAGCGGAAGTCTAAGTCTCACATG